TTTTTTTTTTTTTTTTTAAACTTGAATTTTATTATATTTTCCTGCAAAATTTAATCAGTAACTTAGAAATCAGAAAATAAAAAGACAAGGAAGTTAAAATTAAGACTGTCTCAGTTCCGACCCATTCAGCAAAGAGTTGGCTGAAAAATGTGGACTTGCACAGTTCTCAGAAGCTAAGAAATGTGGGCTCTGACAAGCTTGCTATTCATAGATTCTAAGGCCAGAAGGGACCATTGTGATCATCTAGTCTGACCTCCTGTATAACATAGGCCAGAGAACTTCCAAAAATAATTCCTGGCACAGATCTTTTAGAAAAACAGCCAATCTTGATTTTAAAAATTGTCGATGATGGAGAATCCACCACGACCCTCAGTAAATTGTTCCAATAAGTAATTATAATAATAATAAATGGAGATATCCCATCTCCTAGAACTGGAAGGGACCTTGAAAGGTCATTGAGTCCAGCCCCCTGCCTTCACTAGCAGGACCAAGTACTGATTTTGCCCCAGATCCCCAAGTGGCCCCCTCAAGGATTGAACTCACAACCCTGGGTTTAGCAGGCCAATGTTCAAACCACTGAGCTATCCCCCCCCCCCCCGTACTCTCATTTTAACTACCAGCCATTGGATCATATTATACCTTCCCCTACTAGATTGAAGAGCCTATTATTAAATATTTGTTCCCCACGTCGGTACTTACAGACTGTAATCAAGTCACCCCTTAACACTTCTTTGTTAAGTTAAATAGATTGAGCTCCTTGACTTTATCACTATAAGGCATGTTTTCTACTATTTTAAACATTCTTTTGGCTCTTCTCTGGACCCTGTCCAATTTATTAACATCCTTCTTGAATTGGGGGCACCAGAACGGAACGCAGCATTCCAGCAGCGGTCGCGGCAGTGCCAATTGCAGAGATAAAATAACCTCACTACTCCTACTCGAGATTCCTCTATTTATGCATCTCACAATCGCATTAGGTCTTTTGGCCACATTGTCACGCTGTGGGATCAAGTTCTACCATTAGGGATTCTGCCTCCAGTCTTCAGAAACGCACATTTAGAGACTGTCAGCAAAAACACTTCAGTTTATATCTATTGTCATAATGGTGTACATAGAGAGAAAAATAATATCTAAGATAGTCAAGTCCCAAATAATATAGGTCTTTATACATGCAGATTAAAGCCAACACCTTGAAATGCATTTGGAAGAGTATTGAGAGCCAGTGTATTGGAAGGAGCATAGGTGCAGTGAGTGCATGTCATCTCGCTCTACCAGTTATTTGGACCACTGGATTCTACACAAACTGAAGCTTCCTAGTAGTTTTAAAGAGTAGTCTTGAGGAGAATACATGGTGTTGAATCAATCTAGCGGTGACAATTGCATAATGGATTATGCAACATTGAAAGGTAATTAACTGCAGATGAGATATAAATTACCACAGTTTTGCAGTGCATGGAAATTCAAGATCAGCTGAGGGCACTGTGTACAGAATTTTAAGAACTGTGGCGAAAATGGTTGCTGCATCTTCACGGTCTGGAGCATTCTGTGTGGCAGAATAAAAAAGTCTTTTCAATTGCAACTGGAGCTGAGCTAAGAGCTTGACTCAAGAATGAAGTGTGACTGCTTGTAGCTTGCTGCATTAACGTGATTGATTTTTGGTTTTGTAGTTGTTCTGATCCAATTATAAAATCATTATAGTCAATTTAAAAGGCATTTGAATTTGGAGTCATAAAACAGGGTCCAAATGTACCCCCAAGATTGCCAACCAACTTGACATGGAGTGAGACACCAACAGAGAAAGCAATCACATCTATACAAGGCCGGCTCTGGCTTTCTGACCGCCCCAAGGAAAAAAAAACAAAAAACGCGGCGGCCAGAACAGCAAAGCCAAAAACAACCCCTGCGGCGCGGCCGGAGCCAGATGCAGGGGGACTCTCTGCTCTGCAGATGTGCCCTGGCTAGCGGGGGGAGGGGGAGAGAGCGGGGGGCCGAGAGAGAAGGGGGGCGGCCAGGGCTTCAGTGGGGCGCTGCCACGTGGCCCCTCCCACCGTGCCCCCTACTGGGAGGGCTCCGCACCACTCCAGTCGGCTGGGAGGGAGGACGTGGGCTGCCCTGCTGGGCTTGCTGCAGGGCACTCCCGTCCTCCACACCGCTGCCCCCTACAGGGCGGCCGGAGCAGAACAACAACAACAAAAAGTGGCCGTGCCGCCCTAGGATTGGGCGGAATGCCGCTTCCTACAAGCTGCCGCCCCAAGCATCAGCTTGCTCGGCTGGTGCCTGGAGCCAGCCCTTCATCTACAATCAATTTCTGTAAATAATATTCTGTGCCAACCCACATTAACTCTGTCTTGTCTAGACTGTTTTTCAGCCAGTATGTTTTTGCTTCTCCGTTGCGTGATTTAGACAGGGACACGGATTAGCAAACTGCACCATCTGCACTTGTGAAAA